GTAGCACTTGCGGGTATGTATGGTGAAAAGTAAAGCACCACTATTTTATTGTCTTATTTATTTTCAATGAATTAATTAAGTCAAAATTCGCATTTCAGCATTGAGTGATTCAGAAGGTTGTGGAGCCTCATGTTCAGGTAGTAGTTTAGACCAGTCTATTTTAGAGGCCTCTAGACCTCAACAAGCTCCACTGCCTGACTATGGTTTAGATGATCTTCATTCTGATGACTCCAGTGGTGAAGAAAATAAAGTTTTGCCATGTAGAAAACGAGGTAAACAACTAAACAGCTTTAGAGTTGAATTTTAACTCTCATGAGTACAATAATATTAATGTTTCTTTGTGTTCCATCAGCACGCGGAGCGAGTCAGTATTAAATTTGCAACATGAAATCTCTCACTCACAAATGTTTACGTTCTTTGTTAGTGAGAAAAGTACACCTGATCTCTCCAAGTTATTTAATGATATTGATAAACGGTTATTGACTCGGCGTTCAAGTGCAGTTTAGCATTCCCCTGGAAAGGAAAAGCTTGCCTATTCAAATTAATGATTTGATAATGTTAACAATTTACTAGTCACTGAAGTGGATGTGTCTAAAGTTTTATACTTAATTGTACATGTACTTTAAACAATTAAGAGTTATTTTATCAAATTTTGTAATTTTAAAAATAATTGTACAATAATATTTATGCATTTGAAAGTACTAACTGCCATATCAGTTGTAGGGCAAGGGTCATTACTCAAATTGTGAGGAATTGACTACTAGTACCACTCAGGATTTTATTAACATGTCATAATATTTACAATGCATGTCTACATACTCAAAGAAAACAAAGAATATTTCTCGCACATATAACTTCATTGAAATTTTCAGACTCTCAACCTTTAATAACGAACATGCTGCAAACCAGATTAATGCCATAGTCCTGCTAAGCACCAACATTTAAATTCCAAGAAGATATACAAAGTATGCACAGACAGGCAAGATTAGAAATAAGACAGGAATTGAGGTCTTTTGGCACACACACTTAGAGCAACATGGCAATAAGCTGTTAAAGACAAGAGATAAAGCAAAAATGTGCCCGCATTCAAAGGATAAGACCTAACATGATTTAATGAAACTTTCTATTGCAATATATTTGAATATGAGCAATTGCCAAACAGTAACATTATGTTATCAGGTTTCACACATTTGGGTACTTCCTACAATCACAACACAACCATTAGTAATAGGATAGGATTTCATTTAAGAACAAAGTTTGAATCATAAATAATAATGCAAAATTAATCATAGTGTTCCCTATAAAGGCAGTACATGAAGTGACTGAATAGTCCAAGCATTGGTAACACAAAACTATTTAATACAACGCAAACATGCTACACATTAGCACACAGATATGGCTTTTATCACAAGTTGGGGAAGAATGACCAATGATAAAAATATTGGTTACCTTGGTAATTGACTCCAATATGTGTGATTTGAAATACTCACATAATATTTTGGAGACCACTTGCTTCAGATAATACAAAGTGTTAAAACAGTCATTATTAAAAGTCCTGGTTCAAGCAATCCACTTTTTTTCCAGGCGCACACAAAACATCATCCTCAAAACTGAGCAGATACATGTGATGAAAATAATTTTATCTTCAAATTCACAAAAATGATATACTGAGCTATAAATGGGTCCCAAAGTTGAGTAAAAAATTAAATATGGAAAATACTTGGCATTTGAATTGATGTGAAAGAAAAAAGCATGTACCAAAACCATTTTCAATGAATGGCGAACCTAAACAACCTTTGGAAGACAAAAATAGCAAAGGAGTTAAGGATCAGGAACTACAAAAATAAGGAAAATTATGGTATACCGTAAATTCTTTTGCAGATGTATCAAGCTGTCATAAAAATTTGTAATGGTTTCTACAATGCTAGGTGAAGAAAACTTTAATATCATCATGGCTCATACAAGATCAAATATCCTTGGATATTTACAGGGGTACAGATAGTTTTCTTCAAATTTTAAAGGCGTAACTCAGCCAAGAGGCCAGAATGACATCACAGGCCATTAACATATTGCTTATTTCATGCAAAGCTTGGATAAAGTCTTACTCAAAGTAAACACCCTATGTGTTATAACAAGTTATATATAGCGTAGTACAATTTTAAGTAAACGAAAACAGAATTACTGGGCCATTAAAAGCAGCAAATATATCAGTCTATTCAAGGCACTGCTCTAACATACAAGCCTTTCAAAATGCACTTAAAAAATATGTATAATATATGAATCCATTTGCAATATGATCTAATAACATGGAAATTTACTTTAAAACAATGATACAAATTTATAAAATTGCTAGAGCTTTACTGCTCAGCGTATTGCATAAAGATAAAAGTAACAACAATCATGACTTACAATTAAGTGCCCACTTGTAATATGTACAAAAACAACCTGAATTAGTAAAAAAGCACACCCTGAATGGTGTGTTAGATATGAATTATGTAGTTCATGTGCTTAAGAGCACAAATTTCATAATGATTGCAATATGTAAAATTGTACAGTAAAATAATGGGACATCTGTCCTTTAACAGCATTCTATGTTTCAAAATTAAGTAGCACTATTACTTATTCAGCTCAGTTTAAAGATGTTAGGCCTACCAGATAGTCAGTACTCTTAATTAACTCCATTTACAACTGAGCAATAACAATTTTTTAATTACGGTACATTTTTGATATTTACAAGTGTGGTTTGAGAACATTAATTCTAGGTTTAATGCACTGATAAGGTGTTTATTATTTCTACTAAAGAGACACAACAAGAAATTTACCCATTAAATGCAGCACTATGTGTATATTCTAGTACTGCTCTCAATTGTGATATTGTCCTCCAAGGCACTTCTCTGACTCAAATGAGTCTATCACAGAGACTACTCTATGGCTCACCCCTCTATTTTAAAGGTAGACATGTAGCATGTGGCTACCTGCTTATTATAGGCAAACTACTGAGATCCTGTCTGATGGAACCAAACTTAAATGAAAGTCTGCCACCATCAGACACTTGCAAAATAAAACAACAACAAAAACCCTGCCAATGAACAGAAGACCCAATTAGAGAATGCAAGAGAGTTCTCTATATAATACTGTTAAAGTGAGTAAAAGTTTTAATTTCAATGAAATAATGTACAATAAAATTCAGACAGAAAACAGGAAAACATTTGAATTACAGGGTTTGCTTTGGAGAAATTAACCAGTTAAAGGTTAACCCTACTGCTACAGAGTTAACACCAATCAGCCATATATGTAAAATCTCGGAATAGACCTTGCTCTTCATCTGTCAAAGGTCTAGGCTCCTTAGGAGGAGTTAACTGAGGCTTTTCTGATGTAAATTCTTCATCAAAGTTGCTCACATCTTCAGAACATGACTGTAGTGAAAATATACCAAACATTTAGGCACATTCAAATGTTAAAACCTTGAATTCAAATGACAAGCAAGTACTTACAACAGTAGGAACAAATGGTGGCTTCACTCTACGTAATAATAAGTCATCCCAAGCTATGTGTCTGAAAAAGGCTTGCTTTTTCACATCTTCAGCATCTCTTTCACTTGAACCCAGGCGCCGTTCTGGATTCTTGCGCAGCAGCTGTTAAAATAAATACAGCAACTTCACATGTCATGCAACAGCCAAAAACTGGAATGTGGGTGCAACAATCTGTTATAATTACCCTTCTCATAATTGCTATAGATTCAAGAGAAAGGAAACGTGGGTAGCGAACTTCATCATTAACAATTGAATCAAATACTTCCTCTTCATCATCCCCAGGGAACGGTGACTGAAATTTATAGAAAATACGGTCAAATGCCATAAAACATAGGTATATGATATAAAATCACTGATAGACAAGACTTATAGACAAACTTACCTCTCCAACCAACATCTCAAAGATAAGAACCCCAAGGCCCCACCAATCCACAGCCCGTGTATATGAAGTCTCTGTCAGCACTTCAGGGGCTAAAAACTCAGGAGTACCACAAAAAGTCCCAGTTCGATCTCCAAATCCCATACCTTCTTTGCACAAGCCGAAATCTGCTATTTTCACATAGCCTTCAGTGTCCAGTAGAAGATTATCCAATTTCAAGTCACTAGAAACAAGATACAGACAATCTATATATTTCCAAAATGGCAGTTTTACATTGTGCTTACATTTTATTTATACTTACCGATAAATGATTTTACTTTCATGCAAATATTGCAAGCCTAACACAACACAAGCAGCATAAAAAATGGCACGGGGCTCAGAAAACACATCAGCATGAATGTGCATCATTAAGTCACCTCCAGCTGCATATTCCATGACAAAACACACATGTGCCTGTTAGAGAAAAAAGGGGATTAAGAAACCAATTGAGAAAATAATGAATTCATGACAGAAATATATCATATGATAAAATAAAATAATACATGAATTTCTACCTCAGTTTGGAAACAGGCAAAAAGATTGACAAGGAACGGATGGCGCATCTGATTGGCAACTTCAAAAATTCTTTTTTCTGAAAGAAGTGACTCAACCTCATCACGTGCAATAATATCACCTTTCTTTAAAGCCTTGATAGCAAAGTATTCTCCCGTGTTGCGATACTGAGACAGTATTACCTAGAAAACAAGAAAGCACTGAAACACTGAAACTTACAGAAAGGTGAAAGAGGAAAACTGTTTTACAAACTGACGTCTCTTACTTTGCCGAAGTGACCTCTTCCAAGTACACTCAATAACCTGAAATTTTCCAATGACATCCCTGTAAACTGAGAGTGCCTACGTGATTCATATGCACTGTCACGGTATTCCAAACCGCGGGCAGCAGGGCGCCTGACAATTTCCGGCTCATCGTAAACAACCTGAGAAAATTAAAGAACAAATTAGAGTTTAATTAACAAATTCCATATTCAAAAATTGGTCAAGTGTTTCAAGGAGCCATAGAGAATGCCACAGAAGGGAAAAACGGCTGCAGTAAAAACTTCTGTAGATCAGCACATAAAATATCATGCGCACAGCAATACAATTCTTAAAAAAAAAAAACTTCTACAAAAGTGGTGTGAGATCAAACAAACACAAAAAGCACAAAAATGTAGTAAAAATTACAATAAATTGTTAAAAAACTAAGAGCCCCCTCCCCCTCCTCCCTTCCATAAACATACAAAAACAGAAGCAGAACATGGGCTGACATAAAAAGAATAAATGACACATAATAGTTAGACAATGGCAACACTAAAGTAGAGTAGAGACTATAGCAGAACAAAACAGAGGCAAAGGAGCAGAGCAACACTTAACATCAAACTGCAAATCACAAGTACCCACAAAACAAATTAATTCAAGGGGAATTCCATATTGAAAGGACAAATCAGAAAGGCAACAGTCATGCAAAATAATCTACTAATTTCTTCCCGTGGAGAGACCCCAAACACATTTCCTCATTTGAATTTATGGCCCTTGGTCCTGCGCGTGGAGTGAAGGACAAGTCCCTTGCTGAGTAAGAGGTAACCTCGACTCAACTGCGCAAGCACAGGGGGCTGGCCTTGTTTTTAACACTTTTCTTCTAGGTTGACCAGGGGAGGCCTGAGCCAGCAGGGTTACCACTTGGCATCGGCATTATTGACCGCACTCCTCCTTCGGTCCAATCAATCAATACATATCACTCAAGAATAAAAGTCCTGATGATTAAGATTGTCGATTGTGGTCCAGACAAGTTACAGATCTGGTCTAAACTTGGGTTTGAGTAAGTCTAATTCTTAGAAACAGGAATGATGTGCACAGCATGCTTTAGCAACCAAGATATGCTGAAGTAATTGAGGCGTAACTAACTGAAAATAGGGACAGATAAAACCGAGAGCACCTAAAAACCACTTTCATGCTCTCTGTGGTCCAACCAACAAACATGCAGGGAACTCTGGAAAGCCATGCTAGAAAAAGACTGGCTTATAAAATCTTCAATCACTGAAAGTGATACCTCATCTTGGGGGAATTCTACGACGGGTTGGGGTGAGGGAGAACGTTGATGACTTGAGTGAGCAGGCTGTTGCTGCTGTTCAGGACCAGGAATCGATAGAGGCCGAATAAGAGGTCCACTGTGGTGCCGATGCAGATGATCAGGAGATCCCTCCTGGTGCAGAAAGTCAAACTCCCGAAGTGCATTCTGTAACTATAAATAAGTGCAACTACCAGTGCTGAGAGACTAAAGTCTACCACAAGATCTGACCAGTGCTTCCTTGAAAGAGAAAGGTGTTCAAGAGGGTAATCGAATCCTATACAACCTAAAAAGTGCAACAAAAAATAAAAAACATTCCAAGTTGTAAAAGAAAAATACAAAATGATGAAGGCAATAAGAGTAGTTGGAAGGAATGTCTCCTTTGCAGCAAACAGAATCACAGTACCACACAGAAAATAAAAAGCAACTTAAAAGTGGATATAATTATCATTATCTTTGGTACAAAAACCAGTGTAAAGAAACTTCTATATTCATTCAACACCGCACCCAAAATCCGAAATAAGACATTTTGATCTGCAGGTACAGACGGCACAGTGCCCAGAGACTACCATTAAAAAAGCAAACAACTGGTATCAATGGTATCAACTGCATACCTCAGGATCAAGCCTCGGTGGTGGTGGCGGCGGGGTGGGAAGCGGAGACGTCCGCTTCTTGTGGACCATCTCTGGGGGTAGCGGGGGCAGCACTGCAACACCCAGCCCAAGTGGCCGTGCACCCGAGAGGCCTGCTGTTTGTGGATCAGGAGCTTCTCCAGGAGCCTCTGCTTTATCTTCCACAATGGTGGCATCCAAGGGTTCCACACCTAAAACCAAGAGACTGAATGTTAGTGCAAGGGTGAGTTTCTCTTCAGAGAACATTAATATCATGTTGAAATAACACTGTGGCTCCCAATATTGTTTCAAAATATTGAACAATATCATGCAAAATCAAGAAAACTAATCTATGATCTTCAAAGACAGGGAGGAATCCCACAAGAGAATATAATGAATAGCTTTTAAAAGAATAATTAAAAATCAACCATTTGAATGTCTAGTTCCATTTTCTCCCAGCTTCAGTTGTCGGACAGACCGACCTGATGGTGGACTTTCAGAGGCCGAACGAGAATTTCCATGGCTGTTGTTGTTTTGAATAGATGGAGATGAGCGTTTTAATAGACGCCCCCAAGTTGCAACATTGATATTCATTTGAGTTGCTCTCGGGAAGTTTTTCACTTGCTGCTTGAATATCTTCCGTTGCCGGCGTAGTTTTGGCTTTCGTGATATCATTGGGTTGAGGAACTTGATCTGAAAGTGGGATATTAAATGAAAATAAGGCAAATAAAAGAATTCAAATAAAAAACACATGTAATAAACAATCTGAGGTAAAGTATATGACAATCACCTCGGCAAAGAGAAGACCCTGCGGTTCTAGTTGTAATGCCATGCCATGTCTAATGTCATCTATAAACTCTTCTAGGCGTAGAAATTTGATGGCACATAATGAGCGCCAATCACGCCAATATATTCCAACTTCTAGTTCTCTTGATTTGTCAAGATCAATGGAGAATCTGATAAAAGGGGAAATGTTGTCAATACCGATTTATGAAGAAGCATTTGAATTTGTAATAATGGTCATTTGTACACACCTTTGATCCCATGCTTGCTGTGAGCAAGGCCGCCAATTTGTTTGGGCAACAGTTTGATTATCAAGCTTGATCACAGCCATTATCTCATCTTGAAAGAAAAAGGAGAAATTGAGAAAATATAACAATGTAGCAGCATGTAGCGGAAATGTTTCAAAATTATAGACTTACTGCTAGTTTCATCTTTTATGCTGTATGATTTACTTGAGCTCCTTCCTGTAACACCCTTTACAAATGATCTAAGGTCTCCACTTGGACTGGAAGTAGTGTCCTTATCCCTCCGAGAACGACCGGGTACCTCTTCTAACAAGTCTTGGCAGCCCATCAAACGAACCTAGATAACAATTAAATTGTTAATTTTACTAGCAATGGAATGGATGTGCATAAAAAAGAACACATACAAGCAAATGTAGAAACTCACTTCTAATTTTCCCGTTACAAATGCTGCTCTGCTCAGTGACTGTGACCGGGTTCCTATGCTATTTTGTTGTTGTGGCTTATCCAGCATGTTACCATCACGGAAAGGCTGCAGACTAGTGTAAGTGACAGGTACAGGACTGGCAGCCTGGGCGTTCTGCAGTTCCCTCTTCAGTTGAGCAGCTGCTGGGGAGTCAGGAGGCAACTCAGCTCTTCGCATTTCTAATGACTTACGCAGAAGATCCAGCTTCCGACTTGATTCTGACAAGCTCGCTTGTGCCTATGACAATCACATAATAATTATAGTAATACATCCACACACGGGCACACTTGAAAATAAAAAATCAGATTGAGTGAGGCAACTCACCCACCAAACTGGAACTCCTCACTTACAAACCAAACTAATCTGCCCAATGGGAGTCCAATTTTAAGCAATCAGCTAGACAGTATACACTCCATGACTATTCAACACTTTAAGTTCATCCATTTTTGACAGTAACCTAAACAGATTGACTCCACACTGCAGATTAAAACTTAATTGACCAGGAAAATAACACACCTAAAAATATGGAATAATTTTAACAGTAAAGAAAGGGGGCCATGAAACACAAAGACCCCCCCACCCCACCACAAAAGTACAGACAGAAACACCCTATGAAGGTGAAAAGTAGAAGATAGCGAAACAGTTCCACAGCTATGATGATAACTTGAATAACAGAAGCGGGCGGCATGGTTTTCTAGCTTCCAATCACACAGGTGTCCCGAGGTCGGAGCCCAGATCCTGGTGCAGGTGGTCCGGCGGCATGGAGAGTCCTCGCCCGGCCCAGGGCGTGGCCCAGGGCGCCCCGGGGCCCAGGTAGCCCCACGCGTCGCCGTCCATGGAGCGCGCGCGGCCCTGGGCGCGGGCCTGAGCACGCGAGCGGAAGTGGTGCGAGCAGCTGTCGCACAGACACTCGGGGTTCTTTGCCGGGCCGACGTGGTGGCCGGGGCGCCGCAAGCCCAGCACCGTCCCGAAGCGCAGTGCCGTCTGCTGGGTCCCGCAGAAGGGCGCAAAGGCGCTGGCCGGCAGCTTGCCCGGGAGGCCGCCGCCGCGACCAGGACCAGCCTGGGAGAACGGACCGCAGCTCAGGGGCCTGGCCAGCCTGGCCAGGGGGCCTTCCTTGTCCGCCGAACCCTGCACAAGGGGTGTGGCCGGGATGGTCTTGACGAGAGGAACAGCCGGGCGAGCGGGCGCTGCCGCGGGGGTGGTGGCGGGGGCGCGCCGCACCGTGTCGTCTCTCTTGAGCCCGCCGCTGGCCGCACTAGTAACGCTGGCTGCGCTCGCGGGCCTCGACTGCGTCGAGGTGACCGAGCATCGTGATGAGTGACGGCCGAAGCTCCACGCCATTTCGCTGCCCGAGCACGAGCACGAGTCCGAGTCGGTGGTGGTGGTCGTATCCTGCTGCTGCACCTCCACGGCCCCGGCCATGGCCGGGTGCTCGTCCAGGAAGCGCTGGAAGCGCTGCACGCGCTGCTCCTGCAGCTGCCTGCGCCGCTCCAGGCGCTCGTCGTGCGGGCAGCGCCACGTCCTCGAGGCCCAACTCTTCTCCTTCTCTAGGATGCGCGCGCGGTCCAGAGAGTCGGCGTACTCGAAGCTGTCGCTCTGCGTGATGCTGCCCGTGATGCTGAGGGTAGCCAGGCTCTGGAGGCTCTGAAGGCTCTGAAGGCTCTGGAGACTCTGAAGGCTCTGGAGACTCTGGAGGCTCTGCAGGCTGCGCTCCGTGTTGGTGCGTGACGGGTACAGAGAGCTGAAGCTCGACTCGCGGCTGCTCGCGTCCAGCGGCGTGTATCGGCAGGCCTGCGCGCGCCGCCCGCCGCCGGGCTGCAGGGCGAGAGGCAGCGCGTCGCGGGCCTGCCGGGCGTGCACCACGCGCACCCCTTCCGACTCGAACACCGTCTGGGGCGAGGCGTCCGAGTCCAGATCGTCGGCGGAGCTGCTCAGGTCGCCGTCACCGTCCTCGTCCGAGCCCGTGCAGTACACGTCGATGTGCACGGTGCGCGGCGGGCGCGCGGCTCGCGACGCTGGTGCTGGCGCCGCCACCGCCGCTGGGGGAGGAGACATGACGCCGGGCTGCGGCCGCGGCGGTGTGGCGGGCCGCCCCCGGGACTCGGGGCCACCGCGGGGCCACCGCGGAGGGGGCGGCACCCGAGGAGTCCAGGCCTGTTTCAAGTCCATCGACGATTAGTCCCCCCTCTCCCAGTCGCCGAGTGCGTGTACATGTACCGTTCAGGGTCGCACCCTCGCATCGCGTCACCGCCACCGCCACAACAAGGCCGAGAGTGTAATATGGACGCATGTAAATCGATCTCCGACAGACTGCCCTGCTGCCTTCCTCTTCGCACCATGTCGAACACGAGTAGCGTCAAACCCATAAGTTTCAGCCAAGCGTGCAAGATATGTACTCGGTCCGCCTCGCCTCGTCTGTGCGTAGGCGGGCGGGAACGCGGCGGCCGCCCTGGTGAGCTGCCAGTACGTGTGGAAGGGGGGGGAAATGGTGGGGGTGGGGGCTAGCTAGCTTCAGCTGGCTACATCCCAGCCCCTCAAGGCACCGAGACCGACCGGCGTTTTAACAGAGGCAGTAGGAAAAAACAGTCGCGGAATTTCGCGTGATTCGCCATTGCTCTGCGCTTGCCTAGGGTAAGATGACCAATTATGGACACCTTAACACGTTGAGACCCAGGGGGAGGGGGGTATCAATCACGTGTTATTGTGACCATACGTGTGGTCACGTGGGACTCAACGTGTTAAGAGATGGATCTGCCCAGTGATGGAAACCCCTCTTTCTTGGAATGTAAACAACGGAGCGCAGTGGTTTCGCTTATTATACCACGGCAGTCTTACTAGCACATTAGTTCCGTGCCAAGATCGTAAAGTGACGAGTTTGGCTGCAAATCGCGAGAAGTGGCCATCACTGGTACAGTGTCCATCACTGGGCACCTCACCCTACGTCATTCCCTTCGCAATGCGCCGACAGCGACAGGGCGATAGGGGTGGGCGGAACCTCGCAGGCGGTGACAGGTACTCCCACCCCACCCTCTACCCCACCCTTCCGCAAACGGGCGCGAAACTGAACGTGTCATGTCCTTGCTGCGTGCGACACATACCGGCGCGATAACGGGCGCCGCTGCGGTGTGGGACCTAACGTGGGGCGTGGCGGCCATGGTCAGCGCGGAGGCGGCAGGAACAACACCAGGGCGGCACTGTCTAACGGCGAGACCGTGTCGGGAGATGAGCAGTGAGGCAGTGGCAGCGGTGCGAGGGCGCGAGCTGCTACGCACCTGGTCAGTGTCCGTGTCCGTGCAGGTGCTCGCCGACAGGGTGGCGGGCAGCGTGCGGTGGCGGCGCGCGGAGTAAGCCACGCCACGCCCACCGCCATTGCGGACGCCGCGGAGGGGCGTGTGCGAACTAGAGCAGTCCGACGGCGGGGCGCTGCTGTCCTCGGTGGCGTGCGTCTGAGAGGCCGCGTCCCGGACTTCCCTGCCGTAGTTCGCCGCTGCTGGGAAGATCCTCTCTGGCGGCTCCGGCGGCTCGGGGTCGGCGGCAGCGACGGTAGGTGGCGGCGAGAGCGGCGGGGGCGGGTAGGGCGCGGTGCACAGCGTGATGCTGCAGGTGCTCTTGCAGCGCCGGCCGTAGACGGCAGGCTGGCGGCGCGCCGTGGGGGCCGCGGGGGCGTACGACGCGGTGGCGGAGAGCTCGCTGTTGTAGCCAGAGTCCTGACGGCCGTGCACGGCCGCGGGGTCGGGCGGCGGCGGCGCGCACCCCGGGGGCGGTGACGTCGTGAAGAGGATGCTGCCACGCTGGAAGCCGTACGCGGGGTGCGGCTGGCAGAACGGGTTGCTCGCCTGCGGAGGCGGCGAGGCCACGGGGTGCGGCGGCGGCACGTAGGGGCGCCACGAGCACTCGAGGCGCACGCCGTCCTGGCCCAGCGGCGGCATGCTCACGCCCCGGACAACAGACGACGCCGGCGCGGCGGGGCCGATCGTCAGCTGCGCGTGCACCGCCCACTCTTGTGTCAGCGGCATGGCGTCGTCGTCATAACGGCCCGGACACACTTGGACGAGCGACACGCAGCCAGCGCACGGCGGGGGCGCGCTCCGAGCCGACACTGCCCCTCGGCGGCGGGCTCAGGTCCGCGCGGCAGCGCCCCGCCCCTGGCCCCCTGGGTGCGCGCCAACGCGCAGGCCACCGACGGGCCGACCCGCAGGTCCGCTCCGCACCCGCACCTCGCCAACGGCATGGCGTGGCGCGGCGCGGGCTATTTGCGTCGCGCCACGCTGGCCACCGGCGAGCCGACAACCACCGCGTCGGGG